TTTGTGGGCTCCCTATTCTGTTCCACTGATCTATGTGCCTTTTCTGATTCATTGTTCTTTCACCAATGCCACATTGTTTTAATTAGTGTATTTGAAATACAAGGCATTTGAAATATAATGAATGCATTTTGATTTTGAAATACAAAGGCATGCATTTGAGATATAATGAATAATTAATTACCTTTATGAACTTTCAATAATTTAAAATTTTAACAGAGAGTCAAGATCAGTAAGTAGCAAATATTAACTGGAATATTTAGAAAAAGCCATTTCTTCTTAACTGGACAGCTTTTTGTGTGTTGTATATGTATATGCTTGTCGATAAGAACATTTTGTTATATGTATGGTATAGTAATCTTTTGTCTAGAAAAAAAATTTCGTTCGTATGATGAGACTATTGTCATCCTAATTGTAGCTAACACTTTGGTTATGTGCCATGCACATCTAAGTACATCACAGATTTATCTCATGATTTTAATCCTCACAACAGCCCTACGAGATTGGTATTAATATTAGTCCCATTTGACAAATGAGGAAACTGAGGCACAGACAGGTTAAGTCCAAGGCCACACAACTAGTAAGCAATGCTGGCAAGATTCTAATACAGGCAGTCTGGCTCCAAAATCTGTGCGTCTAACCACATTATCAATATTCCCTCATGCTACCTTAGCAAATTTTATAACCACTATTCAAATATCTCAAGCACTGTTAATGAGGTATGATGAATCTCAGATTGCTTATTCTTGGATAAGAAGTATCAGAGAATGAAAGTCATAATTTACTAATATTAATGCTAGATGAGAAATTTCAGGTCTAAATGTACCCAGTTGAGAAATAGCGACAGAAAAAGTTTTCAGGAGGACCACTGGTAAACTATTAGGAATCCTTTGTCTTCAAGTAGAGTAATGATCTAAAATTTAATAGTAATTTCTTCTGAGACTTTAGAAGGCATGCTGTCTTTCTCTGTACTAATTTACTATAAACCAAGAAATGATTTGTGAGTTGGAAAAATAAAACTTATTTTTTTACTGTCTATGAATAAAGCCAAAGAAGAAAGTAAAGATGGTATCAATTGAATGACTAGTTATATACTTGTAATTTTTTTGTAGTTAAAATGCATTCTTTAGCTCTCTTTACTCCTAAACATATTTAATATTTAAATTGATTATAAAATCAAAAAGGACTCATACTTCTGTAAAAATTATTTCTCTATACTTATTACTGAAGCATAATATCCCAAACAATGAAGTTTTATTAAAGTTATTAAAAACAAAATGTAATACCATTAGAAGTTTTATTTAATTCTGGCCTGTGGCTCCCTAAAGTAGAGTGACACACGTCCCTCAAATGTATTACTAAGCACAGAAACTTTGTTATTAACTTTGACAAATAAAATAATAAACATATATTAAGTTTTGTGATTTGGTTGAAAAAATGAAAATCATTTAAAAAAAAATACACTGTGATGTGTCCTTTAGGTGGAGATGAACTAACCACTTCTACCCCAGCATGAGAAATTGACCTTGTAAACTGTAGACATTAAAGAGAAGAATCAGACTCTTTGTAATTTTCTTTTAATAAAGGGAAGATGGTTGTGTTTTCATGGAATAATATCATCAATGTTTGAGTAGTGAAGTAAAAATAAAAAATACAAACACTAATTTCATATCTTTGTTAAAAATATAGTAGTAGCCTTATAAACAACAAGATCCTACAATATTGAACAGGGAACTATATTCAATATCTTGTAATAGCCTGTAATGAAAAAGAATATGAAAAGGAATATATATATAACTGAATTGCTATGCTGTTCACCAGAAGTTAATACAGCATTGTAAACCAACTATACTTCAATTAAAAAAAAGAATTAAATCAGAAAAATAAATATATAAACAACAAGGTCCTACTGTATAGCACAGGGAACTATATTCAATACCTTATAATAACCTATAATGGAAAGAATATGAAAAGGAATATATATATATATAATATACATATATATACATATAAATATATATATATACATGTAAATGAATCAATATGCTGTACACCAGAAAGTAACACAACATTATAAGTTGATGATACTTCAAAAAAAAAAATATAGCAGCCTTAAGGAAATTTAGGAAGAAAAGCATGTGCTGCTAACTCAAATTAGTTTTTGTTCTCTTCAAACTTTCTGCCATACATACACATACCTATAAAACCAAATAAGCGATGATTTATGTAACTTCTAAACAGTGCTTCAAATAGACATTATTTTTACTTTTAAAAACATTTATTAAATGTGCTTTATTTACGTCTCTTCCATTTTCCCTACAGGCTGCCACTACTCTTCCCTTTGTACTACTTTTGTTATGATATTTACAGGGGTGACAATTGCTTTTGCTGTACCCCCCCAAAAAAAACCCAAATCCTACATTCATCTCAAACAAACTTGTATGAAGAAAATTCAATGTAAAGTGATTATGTAATGGATTTTCAAATCCTCAGTGGTAGAGGAGACAACTCAGCCCGAAAAAATAAATTTGAGTAAAATGTCTCTCAAGTACTATGTAGTTTAATTAATAATGATCATATTGATCCATTACCCTATATTGCATCTAATTGCAATGAGTACATTTGTACATATAATTTTTTCCTTGATTTATTTTCTAAGGACAAATTTCCAGGTATGGTATTTGCAGTTCTTTTAAAATAATTTTTAATAACTGTTTCTAAATGTTTGAAAGAATTTACACTGCTCATTTTCCTAAAATCTAGCTAAACTGTTTTATTATTTAGTCCTAAAATTATAATTATTATTAATTTGGAATTTACAAGCTGAGGTAAATTCTTACATTTCAACTTTACTACTGTAATTCTTTTTTGTGTTTGTGATATTTGAAAAAATATGAAAATCTTTTATCACCCTTCTCTATGTGTGAAGAGCAAGATTTCCTTCCATTTGTTAATAGGTAATACATTTCTCAGAAATGTGAAAGATTTAGTCCTTGGGTTCTAAAACATTTAATATGTTAAGTCCTGATAATATTTCTAGCTCTCTGAAAATTTCCGAATCAGATAAGAATCTGCTTTTTTAGTTCCCAGCATTACCCACCAAATCCAGTAATTCCAGTGTTCTTTGATAATGGATACTTAAAGGAATTGTCTTGGAAATTAATTCTAGGAGAGGATTTTTATTATATTTTTACTCTACTCTTAATGCTGATCCTTGCACTGGATTCTGACTTGCAATATGCTTTTTTTTTTTTTTCCAGTAGGAATCTTAAGGTGACTTTGGATATTAGCATTTTCCCCTAAGTTTTTTGTGTTTGAAAATTTGTCTTTTAACATTAAGTATTCCTTGGTGGGACTATAAAATTTGCTAAATAGCTGACAAACCTCTGTAACCTGTAAGCAGGCTAGATAGATGTTATACGTTTCCATAGCAAGGTGTTGTTTTTGAGGGGGCAGGGAGGAGGTAAATTAGGTTTGTTTGTTTATTTATAGAGGTACTGGGGAATTGAACCCAGGACCTTGTGTATGCTAAGCACATGCTCTACCACCAAGCTATACCCTAACCCCATCCCCAATGTGTTTTTAGAGTAGAGAGTTTTGAGAAATAGGAAATCCTAGCTGTCAAAATGCACAAAGATAAACATTCTGAAAGAATTGCTGAATCATTAATGTGAAGCTGCTTAGCATATAAGAAGTCGGCGTTCCCGTATCTTTAAACGTTAACATGTGATCATCACCTTTTCATTATACTCTAAACATATGTGTGCATTTAGTTTTCCTCATAAATAATGTCTTTCTTTTCATTTTACAGACTTAAGACAAATACAGGGCTCTGTGCAATTCTTTGGACATTTTCTTATTCATCTTTCCAATATTATATTAGAAATGGAGCCATTTTTGAAAAGATGAGGAAAACATATAGGAGATGAAAAATGAGTTATATACATTGAAAATATTTCTTATAAATACCCAAAATATATATTAAAATAGCAGGCATCAGAAGGGTATATAAATGACATATGATATAAACTTTGTTAATAAAAAAACAAATACAAAACTACAAGAAATCACCATAAATATTCATAGGGAGAAAAGGATTAGAAGGAAATACATTAACATTTAGCAGGGATTACCTAAACTGGTATGATAGGAAGGTTTTTATTTTATTCTTTTTTGTTTCTGTGTTTTCCAAAATCTTCAGTGAGTATTTGTATTTCTAATTAGGAAAAATGTGTTTCTTAAAAGAAAAAATATTTCTAATATTACTGCTCCATAAATAGTTTATCCAGATTTTAAGCTGATTCAAAGTCTTAAAGAATACATGGGTTTTTACTGACGGTAACCTGATACTTTTCTTCTGTCTTTTCTGCAGCACAAAAATTCTTTAAATAGTGACCCCAGGAATTGGGAGAAAGGATCTCATTCTGTTCTATTTGAAGTAACTGAAATCAAATATGAAGCTTTCATATTTGGTTTGCCAGAACTATTATCTCTTGTATACTAAAAAAAAGAAAAAAAAACCTAGTTAAAATCATCAGCTAAAATATTTAAGTCCTCTACTCATTTAAAAATATTGCTTTTGGTATTTATGATGTATAGTCTTTTACAGCGTGATTGACAGACCCTAAGAATTTTGAAAATGACATAAATTACTTGACAGTTTTAATTTAAACAAACCATATTTTAGTATTGTATATCTTATATTTGAATAACTTGAAATTAAAATACATAAAATAAGTTCAAAGGTAGCTTTATTTATATAATATCTTTAACTTATTTTAATAAGTTAAGATGCTTAATGGCTATAATTATTTTTGTTGCTTTTTTCACCTAGAATGGAGTAGTAGTTATGGCATTCTATGCGGAAACACTGATTTCTAAATCCACTTGGGCTCTTTAAAAGGAAATAAAAATGGTAGCGCCAGAAGGAAAATGAATAGTTAATTGTGGAGGAGGAGAAAACCTAGCTCAGTACTTTGACTAGAGGCAGCTGGGGAAGTGACGTCCTGTAGCATTTGCTGTTCTAGAAAGTGCAGAGACACGTAGTGAAAATGGGAGGACCCAGAAGGAGGCCGTCTCCCGTGTAGTGTATATTTATCTGTAAGTGAGCTGTTGGAGAAGGAATTAAATACAGAGGCGCTGTCTGCTTGCTGCCTTAAGACAGCGAAGCTGAATTGCTGATTTGCTTTAACTTTTAAAACCCCAGCTTGTTTATTTTTCTTAGAATCATTATATTGCTAAGACTGGGGACGCTGTTTTCTTTCACAAAGGGAAATCTAAGTTCATTTCAAGGCGTTCGAAATGGGGAAAGACTATTATTGCATTTTGGGAATCGAAAAAGGAGCTTCAGATGAAGATATTAAAAAGGCTTACCGCAAACAAGCCCTCAGATTTCATCCGGACAAGAACAAATCTCCTCAGGCAGAGGAAAAATTTAAAGAGGTCGCAGAAGCTTATGAAGTATTGAGTGATCCTAAAAAGAGAGAAATATATGATCAGTTTGGGGAGGAAGGTAAGTATCCAGTGTATTTCTTTCTGTCTCTCCAGCTCTGTCTGTCTCTCTCTTTTTCTCTCTCAGCCTCTGGTTATTAAATTCTCTAACATATCAAAAGTAGAAAAGCAAATAGTGGACAAAACCAAGATTTTATCTCTGATCATATGAATGAATGTTACAAGGCTATGAATGAAATGTACTTGTTTGCCTTTTTTTTTTGATTTTGACATTTTGTAGAATATTCTACCATTAAATTTATGACATTAACATTGTATATTTGAAAAGAAACCTTAAATTCCCATACCCATTAAGAAATTGTGTCAAAAGTCTTATGCAACCTGTTTTGTTTTCTAATGAATTTTCTGCCAGAACTAAAAAAGATTCTTTGATAACTTAAAATCTTAAGCTTGGCAGTTCAAATTCTGGATAGTCTATATTTCATTCACAAAAACAAAAGAAGTATTTTGCCTTTCTTATGGCAAAGCTAGTTTAGATTAAACAGAACAGAATCGTCTCTCTGAAGCAGAAGGCCCAGGCATTCAGCTCTAGTTGTTTTTGGCATTCTGCCTGGAGAGGAAAGAATTTTCCTGATGTCATAAAATACCAGAACAAGTTTTTAGCTTAATTGTAAACAGTAATTGTGTGCCAAGAAAATGAGATCTCAGAAATACAATTTTTGACCTAAAATGGCCACCTAGTTAGAACAATTATTGTTTTACTTTTAGGTAACATTATTGTTTTGGAAATTTTCCTGTCTAGGTATTGAGGAAAACATGATAACTTCCCTTTCCTCTACCTGCCATACTTTCGTTTCTTGCAGTGTGAGATCAGAAACTAGTTGAATACAGTAAATGGGGGTAATTTAAGGCTTATCATTCTGGATTTTAAATTAAGTTTGTCTATCATCTGCATATAAATGTAGCTATAAAGTAAGGCTATTTTAAATTGCTAATTAACAACAACAGAAACACTTTTGTTTCCTACAGGTTCTGGGATTTTCAACTTTTTAAACCAGGACTAAGTTATTTTGTTATTTTTCTCCCAAAATGTTCTTTTTAAAATCATTGTAGTTGTGAAACTTTTTTATTTTTTGCTTCCTTTATTGCATTTAATATTAAAATTTCCTACTTAGAAATATATCCTTTAAAATACAGTGAAGCAGTGACTGCTCATTTTGAGTTAAAAAGTTAAATTTAGATTAAGCAGGGTGGTTGTGTAGAGGTTTTTTGGGGTTTTTTTCCTTGTTTTGTTTTTTTCTTTTTGATTTGAGTTGCCCCCAGTTGCAGTTTCTGCTGCTGGTTTTGGTATGACGAGGACCTGCAGTGTCAGGTTCTTACAGAGTAAATACTGAAAACAGCAAATAGCGGGCAGTTCAGTCCTGCTTCTTCCTTATAGCCACACTACTCAAAAAAGCTATGATTTGGTTCATTTGAAAACACTAAGCAGGATTCTGAGATACTACTAACCATATACTACTCTTTCAGAAGAAGTTATTTTGTAATTTTGTGAAAAAACCCGTAAACATGGAGTAACACTATAAATTCCCAGGAAAAAGCAAATATACACATCTCACTAATAGCTTGTTTGTCTATGACCAAGCCATAGATTCAGTGTTTGCTGAGGATACATGTCTTCTGAACGTTCAAGTCACCAAATGATATATTTTTCTTGGCTTAATATTACCTCTTAGTAGTGTTTTTCTCGAGTGATATTTCTCCAGTTTGATTTTTACTGAGCATCATCAGTGAATGAATTTTGTAAAAACTGTAAAGCAGGATCATCTCTGTACCCTGGACCTTTTTTTCTTATTGACTCAGATAATTGATAGAACCAGTAGAGGTAATAGGGGAGAATAAGTTTTTAATTTTATTTCTGGGGGTAATTAGATTTTTATTTTTTAATTGATTTTTAATGGAAGTACTAGGGATTGAACCCAGGAACTTGTGCATGCTAGGCACGCACTCTACCACTGATCTATACCCTCCCCCACCTGAGAATAAGTTTTTTAAAGCATTGAAATATAATATTTAGAAATATCATTTTCTAGTTATGTTACTTTAAAATACAAAGTTATTTGTTTTTTTTTAGAAATTATTCTTCCTTTACAGAAAAGCATTATATTTATTTCTTCTTTATTCGGAATATCTCATTAATTTCCTTTAGGTATACTGTGAAAATGTGGGAAAATATTCTTTTCTCTTTGCCTTCCATTGATCTGTTTGTGCCTGTTGGCCTGGTTCTGTAGCCCTGTGTGTTTCTCCAGAAGTAACAAAATTATTTTAGGACTGTGGGGCCATTACTAATTTACCTGATAAACTTCCCCTCCCACCAACTATTACATTCTCTTACAAGGCCTGAGACAGTGGGAATAAGGAACCATGAACTGAAAAGTGTATGAGTTGAAATTGCTGAATTTATATATTTAGGACCTAAGAGAACCAGTGATTCAGTTTATTCATGTTTTAAAAATCTCTAATATCCACGATTTTCAATGCTGTTTTTTAAAAAAGTTGAATAAAAATAGGGATATTTTAAATTTATCGTATGACCCAACATTTCTACTCTTAGGAACCTATAAAAGAGAAATGAAAATATAGTTCCACACAAAGAACAAAGACATGTACATGAATGTTCATAGCAGCATTATTTGTAAAGGCTCCAAATGGAAACAATACAAAAGTATAATTATTTAGTGAATGGATTAACAAAGTATAGTATATATGTATATGTACACACACATACACATTGGCATACTACTTAGCAACTAAAAGGACCAATTTAATAAAACATGTTACAAAATGGAATAGCCTCAAAAACTATGTTAAATAAGTCAGATGTAAATGACTACATATTCTGTGATTCCATTTATATGAAATGCATGGAAAAGACAGACTTATAGAGAAAGAAAGCAGATTAGTTGTGGACTAGGGCTAGAGGTAGGAGCAGGGATTAACTACAAGTAGAAATGAGAGAATTCTTTGGATTGATGGAAATATTCTGTAATGGGATTGTGGTGATGGTTGCATAATTTTACAGATTTACTAAAACCGCTGAATTGTATATTTACAATTGGTTAATTTTATAGTATATAATAAATAAAACCTTTTAATAAAATAGAGACATTTTCTCCATAGTTGAATCATTTGAAAATAAAAAATATAGAATTACGGAAATTTAAAATCGGATTTTGAGCCAGTCTCTCCCCTAAAGTTTTAGATTTTGTTCTGAATTGTTTAGTGGAAGTCAACAAAAGTTTATATCAAAAGACTTTAAAAAAAGGTTTTCAGGGGAGGAGGGTATATAGCTCAGTGGTAGAGTGCGGTGCTTGGCATGCATGGGGTCCTGGATTCAGTCCCCAGTACCAGCATTAAAAAATAAATAAACCTAATCACCCCCTAAAAAAAGTCTAAGAAAGAAGATTTTCATTAACACATCTTCACAGTATTCAAGTTCTCTAACATTTCTTTTTCTTTATGCTTTCTTTTTTAATGGTTTAGTTAATAACTTTAGTGAATCAAAACTGTTTAAAGGATTTCATTGTGCTAGTAACTCTGTAGGTATTGTTATAAATCTGGATTTTTACATATTAGATCTCCTTAAAGGAAGTTACTAAAGCCCTATAATTTTTTTTCTTTGAAATCCTAATTCTTCTCCAGAGCTTCTTCTTTTGATAAACTCTTAGTCAACTAACTAGTGGAAATTATCATTATGGACAGTATCCCAGACGCCTAATTGTTTTTGGATTGCGAATTGATTGTTGATTGGTTTTAAAATAATAGCAGTCTTGCTACAGCATAGGTAAATGTTGATTCTGGAGTACATTCCTTGATCACACAAAGTGATGATGGTGTCTAGAAAACATTTGTATAGCAGAGGGAAACCAGCTGAATATTAAAATTTTCCATGAGCAGTCAAAATGTATATAGTAAAGAGTTGACTGTGTAGTTGATGACAGGCTTGTTACAATTCAAGTGCTGGGCAGTGCAAGCTATACTTGCATAATAATTCACATTCTATTGGTGTGAATTTTGGTAGGATTTTCTCAGTCATAGTAACTTTGTTATTGACTATTTAGTGTCAAAGCTCCATTGGAGGCTGTTTGTTAGTTCTGATAAACATCACTTCAGACAGGAACTCTGTAATCCTGATTGAGTTAAGCCATTTTTGGCAGAGGAGGTTTTAGGGAAAAGCCAAACCCATGATGTAATAACTTAAAATGTTATTCTTTCTTTTCATGAATCCATTATAGGTCCAAAACATTTAGATTTTTTCTTCTAGAAGGCTAGATTGGGCAGGCTAATTTACTCAATTTATTTATTAGCTCTGTTTAATTATTATATTTGTGGATGAAAAATGAAATGATTGAAATAATTTAAAAATCGGTTTAATCACATTGGTAATGACTTTAAGTTATATACATATCCTATCATTTAAAAAAAAATCTATCACTTTTTTTTTTTAACATTTGGAGTTGTAACTGTACCACTAAAATTTATAAAAAGAAGTTTTGGATGAGCTGTGTGTTAAAAGTCCTTGTTCTGCTTGTGCTTATCATTCTGTTTCTGCAAGGAATATCCCCGAGGATGTGTCATTCAATACATACTTTGACAATTTTCAGATTGTTAGATTTCTCTTGGTCTCTCCAGATTTCTATTCATGGATGAAGGTAAAAATGTAAACATCAGTTGAGACTGTTGGATGAGGCAAAGTACATGTATATCTTTCAGTGGAAGAAGCCAAATAGAATAAAATACACATAGTCTCTGTGAAAGCACACTGAGTGATTCCAGCAGACTTTTTTATTATTAAATTTCTCATATATATATGATTATACTTCATGTTACTCTGGCTTCGGCCTCTTCTCTATCCTGACCCTCAAGACACATTTAAAGTTTTCTCTTCAAAGACTTTAAGAATTAGTTCATTCTCATTATTCAGTAAACAAATTCATTTTCAGTCCTATATACGTGAGCCATGAAAAAATGAATAAAATATATTTCCTCCCCTCAGATTACTCACTGCTTTAACATGTTGGAATCTCTTAGTTTAATTCTCTTGAATTTTTTTTAGTTTTATAATTTTTAGATTCAGTTCCTTCTATTTTCTTGGTCAGGAATGCCCATAAAGCTCATTCAGAAACTTGGCTGATACCGTAATGATATAAATCCTTGTCAGTATTTCTCCCTTAAAAGATCACTATCACTCCCTTAAAAGATACTAAAAGGTTTTAGTAGAATCTTTCTTTGGTATGTAAGGGAAAATGCTGCTTCAGATATGTAATCTCTTGTGAGCTACG